GCAAGAAGTATTCCTCATTTCATAACAGTAGAGAGAATGTTGATTTACCCATTTTTAGCTAAAATATAGTTTTTTCATCTAAATCCAAATCAAACGTTTGTCTTTCTCCTCCACTTGTATTTGGTCTCCTCATTTCCCCCTAGTATGTCCACATTTCTGTTCTAGTTGTCTATCACCTATGTCTGTCTCACTTGTATTACCTTACTCTGTGTCACGTGAACCTGTGCTAAACTCCATCATATCTTCCCACTTGTGCCATATCATCATCTCCCAGTCCACTTGTTCCACTTCCCTGTACCCCACCATATGTCTCTTTTACCTACTTATGCCTCTCTTGTCCTAAGCCCCCTGTATTCCTCTCTTCTTATGCCCTTTTTTAATTGTGTCTTTCTATAATCCCTCAAATTTGCAATCTTGTAGCACGTAAGAGCTTGGTCATGGCAGAGACAATCCTTTATCCTGTGCCCAGTCTCTTAAAGCGACAGTTTAGACACCATAACAACTTCATTTTTAATGCAGTTGTTATGGTGCCATATGCTGTTAGGAGGCACCCCAGGCTTACTCTTACCTGAAGGAGTCAAACCGTTTTCAAACAGTTTATCCCCGAAGTTGCCTCCAGTGCCGGTCTCAGCTGCCCCAATTCACAAAACAATCTTGGAAAGAGATGTACCTTTTCCAAGCCAGTTTTGTGACTGAGGAGTCACTGATTGGCTGACAGCATCAACTGACCGCTCTCAGCCGATCATCAGTGTCCCTTCCCGGGGGAACTCTGTGTGTGAAATTTATGAAGGTGGATGCCACCTGGGGGGAGCTGATACTGGTGCTGGAGGCAACACCCTGAATCTGCACAAATAATTTCTAGCAGCATCAAAAAGCTAAGCAAATGAGCTATTCTACAAATTAAACTAGTTATGGGTTTACACACTAAAAAAAAGATTTACTTTGGATTAAAAACCTACTTCCCAAATGTGTAACAGTAGCAGAGTTGTAGATTTTTTTCCATATCAGCAGTTTCTGATTACATTTTCCAATTCAATTTTTAATTTACACAGTTAATTCAGTGTTTAGTAAATAAACCCACTTTCCCCGCATCTTTGTAAGGAGTCATAGTGCTTTAGAACTGTTTGACTTCTTCCCAGTGGTCTACGGTGCAGCTCCCTGCCTGCACTACTTGTGCCAGAGAGCCAGAAGCTCAATGTCTAAACTAAACTTGTCGGTCAGTTCATTGGCTGAGAGACAGTAGCTGATGCCCTCAGTCTGATCTAGACCTACCTGAAGGACTTAGCTCAGTAGAGCTAACAAGTGATTTTCAGGAACTCCTGATTCTCTGGTGGATGTAGTAAAGGCGGGGGCAGCACCCAGCGGATCTCAGGTAAACAAATAAACCTTTTTAAAATTACTTTAGTACAAGGCTGTGCATTAGAGGAATTTTTTTTTTTAACTTATTTACAAAAATTACTTTGGAATAGCATGTCCTGTTTTTAAGTAGATAGTGACCTACCTGCATACTATAAACATTTTATTCCAAGAATGCCTGTTTGTAATAAGATGAAAAGCCATCACATATGTCCTTAATATGTTGGGAACGTTTTTTAAGTGCCTCGTTTTGTTGCCACAAACATTCTGTCTTGTCGCTCTCAATCATTGTTGGTTCTTTTACACTACTGACTGAGACAAGGCGTGCCTCCAAAACATTAGTCTTTGAACCAGCTGGTCTTCCGCTTTTCAACTCCTGGCCAGTTTCCCTTCCACTTTGATGACATGTTTTCAAAATATTTCCAGGCCTCCTCTTTTCCACCTTCGGGAGAGCTTCCCTACTGCTGCGGTGATATGTTTCCGCAATATTTCCTGGTTTCCTATTCCTTATCTCTGGGACAACTTCACTTCCTTTGCGGCAAGATTTTTCCACAACCTTTCCGGTACTTCTGCTCCCAATCTTTGGAATAGCTTCTTTTCCACTGCAAAGAGATGTTACAGCACTATTTCCTGGTCTCCTGCTCCTCACCTCCTGGGCAACTTTCTTTCCACTGCAGCGAGCTGTTTCCACATTTTTTCCTGATCTCTTGCCCCCTACCTCTGGGACAGCTGCCCTTCCACTGTGGAAAGATATTTCTAATTTTTTTCTATCTCTCCCGCTCCCTGGCTCTGGGAATTTGTCCCTTCCACTGTGACAAGATGGTTTTTCAAGTTTTGGTCTTCTGTTTACTAACACTGGGACAGCTTTTACAGCATTCTTCTTAAGTGTCTTTGAAATTTCGACTAACTTGTTTGTCTTCTCCTGGTATTCTATCATGTTTTGGGTTAGAGGAGGCAGCTTTGCTTCATACACCTCTATATTTTGACGGGGTCCACTGCTGCTCTTTCCATACATTGCAGGCTTTTTTTCATAAAGATGTTTAGACAAGGCTTTATTCATGACCTTGTATGTCAGTAAAGGACCATAGCGCTGCCATGTGTCTTTCCTGGGGAATAGCCTTACAAACCCCCCTCTCCTCTCTTCCTCCTTGTCTTTAACCCAATGAAAGATCTCCTCATCGTATGCGTTAGCTAAGGTCAATTTATCTTTTTTCTCCAGTGGATTCTTACACTCCACACCGACTAAAGAAAGCATATCTGCAACCAGATTGCTCTTGATTTTTAAATTGAGGAAATCGTCACAAGTTACAGATGGAGACGTGTTAACCTCCATTAGCCAGGGACTCAGGTTCTCATCGATCAATACATCAAAGCCATAGAGTTCGAAACAGTTTCTTTTGTGAGGAAGTGTATATCTGCATGACGTGGTAATTGTTTCCTCTGCGGATATAATTGCCTTGATGACAAGATCCTCTATTTTGGAGGTGAGGGTTGCTGTGTCCTTACCGTTCTTCTTTAAGTAACGCAACAGAGCACTGAAGCTCCATTGGCTGCCACAGTCTTCAACATCTGGATTCTGACTTCTGACAAAAGATGCGCTCTCTTTGTTTACGCTGTAGTTGGTTAAATGCATAAACCTGTTGCTCAAGGTCTTTTCTGTCAGTTCATACTTTTCCGTGGCAAACCTGGTGATTCCTTCCTTATATAAATAAATAATTAAAGGATCATAGCATGTCACCAGCACGTAGAGACGGAGATCAAATTTATACCCATCTATGAGGAGGGGGTTACTGATATATTTGGAGACCAGGATCTTATCTTTCCCAATCATTTTAGGTGGGTTTCTAATAAGGTTTATTCCACGGCCTTCACATGAAGACACTGGTTTTGTAATCCAAGTACCTCGATCTTTTAATAAAGCTTTGCAGAATTCCCGGTACTGGCCAGGAAGCACATAGCTCTCAGGCAGGAAGTCGAAACTGTGGTTCCTGTGTTTTTTCTTCAGCTTTTGAAGATTTTTGTACAATTGATCCTTGTGGCCCAGGGCATTTGATTTGGGGAAGTGATTAATTCGCTGAAAGCTGGAAAGGTTCGTTACGAGACTTTGTTTCTGGAGGGGCCCTGTCCACAGCACATTGAAGTTTGTGCTGGTGGCTTCAGCCTCCTGGAACCCATGAGCGGACAGAATGTCTTGGATCAGGCGACATGCTCCAATTCCCATCTTATATGAAAGGTGGTAACGTTCCCCCACCTCGTGAGGACATGGCTCTCCAGTGACAGCTTTTGGTCTAAATCTCACAATTGGAGTTTGGCTAAAACTCTTGGTGCTCAGGATGCAGGACTTATCCTCCTGGTGCTCCATTTTCTGGCACTCAGTTGGCTCTCTGTTTTGTTTCTTCTGTCCATCCATCTTAAGTGTGACAGATATCAGAAAATATGTAATACGAAATAAGAAAATCTCTGGTGCTCTGTAAGAGTACTGCTCTGTCTCTTGCTGTACAGTGCAATGAAGGTGAGCAGCATCAGAACTTTGTTTGTGAGGTTGATTGTGATGTCAGTGATGCATTGATGAGGTGGGAGCAGCTTAAAGGGTAGGAGCAATGGTTAATGGGACACGCCACTGCTCAAATACAAAATAAATTTCAAAAATCACCATTTAGGAAATATTCCCCAAACGAAAACATTCATGCATTTAATTTTACCTCTTTTTTTCTTTTGGGTAAATCTAAAAACAGCTTGCAAAACCTGCAATTCTTTACAGCCAGCCAATATAAAGAGTGCTATCTGGACGCGTTGAAGAAGATTTATCCCATATTTATTTAAAGGAACACTTCCGCCTGGCCAGAGCCCCCATAAGAACTTAAAATCAACAGAACCATACAAGTGATAGAGATTGTACACAGAACATAGTTTGTTAAAATGTAATCAATAAAACAAGAGACAATATATACATATGGTTACATTTCTGCAAATAATGTTACAGAATTGTCAAAATTACAACATTCTTTTTAAACTCAGTATATATATGCATGTTGCTATCTATTTCACTTGACTGAATGTCTGCATTTTGGCAGCACATTTCAATTTAGTTTAGCCATAGTCTTTTGACTAAAAAGCCATTTTAGTTTTAGTCGTATTTTCAACATCTGAATTGTTTCAGTTATCTAAATCTCCAGTGGATTTTAGTCGACACAACTAAAATCTAATGGGTTTAATTTAAGCCTCTATATGTCTCTGTGTCTCTTTGTGTCCTCCCAGCCCCTCTAGGTGTTTCTCTCCCAAGCCCTGATCTGTCTCTTTTGCTCCTTCCACAGCTCCTCTGTGCAGTGTGAATTTTGGCGGCAAATTTCAATTTAGTTTAAGTCATAATCTTTTGACTAAAATGCCATTTTCATTTTAGCCGTATTTTCGTCATGTGAATGGTTTTAGTTTTAGTCTATTTTTTTTTTTTTTGGTGCAAGCAAAGAATAACAGACATAAGTGTGTCACCACTACAGCAAGAACACGTAGTTAAGAATATATCACAGTAAATACATATCGTGGTTAGAATACAATTCGCACAATTTTTAATTAAGACAGAACTGTCTGGGATGTTGTAAATAGAGGTAACATGTTAATTGGGGGGTGTTCACCTGTCTATGTGTGTCAGTGCATCTATTTCTGTTCTGGAAGGCCGATTTTAGATTCCCAGGAGGAGGGACCATGATCTATCTGTTGACCCCTACCTCTAAGGTGGGTTTGGGCTTAAGTGTTTCCCTTTTGTCGGAAAACAAGTGGGGGATTTTGGTGTAGAGTCACCTTGTCTCACCCTCCTGTAGAGTTCTTAGTTCCTGGCCAGGAATTTATCATAGGTGGTTGTTGTCGTGAGTGTGGGGGTGATGCTTAAGGATGTATCGCACTGATTTTGTTGTGATTGCTTGTAGTTTTAGTTGGTTGAGCCTGTGATCATCGTCATCTCGTGAAGCACTGCTATTGGAGGCCTATGTAGGTAAGAGCCTAAATGTGATTGTGTAGCCAAGCTGAGTCGGCATGCTGCCCCTGTATGTGTGGTAGTACTACGTGCTAGGCGGGACAGGATGTGCCCTAGTGGCTCTGTGATTAAGTCCCCATTGCCTTCGGGTGAGGGGGGATCACCGGAGCAGGTGAGGTCAACCTTAAGAGGGGTAGCTCTCCTGTTGTGGACAGCGAACTTTGTAAGTTTAACCGATGAAGTTGCGAAAGCATAAAACAACATAAGAGAAACATAAATTACTAAAGCTGATCAGCTGGATCAAACAAAAAAAACAGGTGAAGGAATGTTAGTTATGTCGTTGCGTTTTTCTCCTCTATGGGCATGAAGACTGCTGCCTTGTCTGCGGTCCAGGGTTGCGGGCGTGGCCGCGGCGCTGTAGGGTTGTTCTGGTTAGAGAGTCCAAGCGCTTCTACTAAAGGTGGGCCATCTTTAGGGTCTGTGGCCTTTTAGGATTTACCATCTTTTGTCACAAATAAGGTTCTGGGAGTCGCCCATTTGTATGAGATTCATGCTGTATGAAGAGGTTGTGTAATTGATTGCATTTCTTTTCGCCAAAGAAGTGTGGCTCTACTTAAGTCCTTTAAAAATGAGAATCGGCATGACTCAAATTCATAGGGAGTCTTCCTGTAAAGTGCTGCCAACAGCCCCAGTTTATCCGACATTGTTTGGCACCATAGGATGATGTCCGTGGAGCTGCGTTGGGGGCCTGTGGCGAGTTGGAAATTCTGTAGACTCCATCAAATGGGATGGCTTTGGCCTGTCGTGTCGGACAAAATGATTCGGTTCCTCCAGTGGCACTGACTCCTGAACCCCCCTGATCTTAATATTCTTTTGTCTGCCCCTGTTGTCCAGTAGGGTAACTTGTCTGGGCAGATTCCCCTGAGCGGTTTGCAATTGTCTCACTGTGTCATTAATTGCGTGAAGGCCTTTTTAAAGTTCTATGACTTCTACTTCTGTTACTTGAGTGCATGCGGTCACAGCCTGTACCTCAGTCGTGAGTACTGTCAAATCTGCTTCCCACATCTGTTTAAGGTTCTGTTGGAGGCCAGCCAGCATGGTTTGTAAATCCCTTTTAGTGGCCGGGGACACTGTCAGTCGCTACCAGTGAGGGTGCCATTGGGTGGGGGGCTATTTTGCATTTCTTCCACTTCTGAGGGTAGAGGTGAGGCCTCACGGGGAGTTGGGGCCTGTGGCACACTGGGCGTTTGCAGCATGTGACTAATATCCCGCTGTGATATCTTTGCGATGTGTGGGGTCTGTTTTTGGGATCTATGACCCATCTCATCTACGCTGTGCTGCCCGGTTTGTAGATTGTCCAGTCCGGGTGTACCACGGCCAGAGCCCTTCCCTACTCTCCCTCTGCTGTCCGCCTGCAAGGTAGGCCTTACCGCCATGGCATTGAGTTTTCGTGCTGGGACCCAGAAAAAACGGCATCTGTGTGATCCGCAAGGGGTACTGCGGCCAGCGTTGGTGAGGGAGACCTGCCTTTCCGCTGGATGCTCACGTTTTTGAATGGGTTTTGGTGAGGTGTCACGGAGCTCAGGGAAATGGCGTCTGCTTCGGTGCGGTGTCAGGCTCTGCCCCTCAAGTTTTAGTCGACTAAATCTCAAAAATTTTAGTTGACTAAAATTAACACTGCTACACTCAGTCCTAATACACTATCAGGAGTTTCAACACCTATAACCACACACAATTACTAAAAAAACAGAGAAACCAGTTGGTGTGTAATTCTGCAATTTAAAAAAATATATATTTAGTGTATGCACAGCAGCCAAGTAGCATGGGAGTGAGAGTCTGGATTCCTCACATTGGTGCCTGGGCTGCAATAGAAATCCAGAATACACTTGACATTCTATCACTGCTCCCTCCTAGCACCAGGTGGCTCCAAACTGAATTTTCACTCTTATCAGTCCCATGCTGCTTGGCCACACTACCACAAGAACTGGTAGGGAGTGAATGACTACTATTGGGGAAAGGGACAGCCAGGGAGAAAAACCTGGAGAGAGGGACACAAGGTGAGGGGAAATATTGAGAAAGTTGAAGGTGTGGGGGCAGAATATGAGGAGAGACAGAAAGTGGGGGAAGTATATAGAGAAATTTAAAGGTAGAGGGGTATAATATGGACAGAAGGTAGGGTAGAATTTGTTCATATGCATTGAATATTGTATTAATGAGCACAGCAGCACACAGAGTCTTAACTAAATTGTTGTGTGTAGAAAATGGAAAACAGAATTTTAATTTTTTGACTAAAATATCCAATCTGCAGCTATAGCTGCAGTTGAAGAATTTCTTTAGCCACTTAAGGACGGAGCTTCAGAAGATGGACTTACCCTTAAAGGGACACCATAGACACGCAGACCACTTTAGCTCAAGTGATCTGGGTGCAGTGTCCCTATTGCACTTAGTAGGACAATGTAAAACATTGCAGTTCCAGACAGCTACTAGAGGCGCTTCCTGGATCCTAAGGGACTTTTGGTCCTGTAATTAATGCTGGACGTCCTCACGGTCTGCATGAGGACATCCATCTTCAGCTATTTCCCCATGAGAAAGTATCAATTTAGTACTTTCCTATGGGGAGGCCTAATGCACTGAGTGTGTACTTCCTGTTAGTCCGGCCGGGTACCGGAGACAGATGCTTCCTGTACCCGCGGACCATACAGAGCTCGGCCACGCTACAGTGAGGGAGTGACAGGAGGGAGCGCTGAGCGCTTCCCTCCTGTCAGCCCCTCTCCTCATGCTGCGCCCGGGCGGTACGGTGCACCCTCAAAGCTGCAGCCACCTGAGGCTCTATACAGAACGCTCGGGCGGCTGCAGCATGAGGGGGGCCGGCGCTGCCTAGTCCGCCTAACAGGTAGCGCCGGCCCTGAGTGTAGGGCATGTCTGCCATGAGGCTCAGCGTTGGGTACTTCAGCCGATGCCCAGTGCTGGGCTTTCCCCGAGTTTGGCGTTGGGAGCCCCTTCGATGGTGCCTCTGCAGTGGGATTCAGCTTTGCCGTTATGCTGTGGGGTGGGCCCTTGAGTTGCGACCCGGTTAGATGCTGTGATCGTAAGGGGCAGAAGTGTGCCGTGCTGGTCTCTGGAGCTTGGATCTGGTGAGGTGCATGTGTGGGGCTTGTGTAGGGTTCCAGCGGGTGTGGGAGCGGGTGCTTAAGCCCGAGCATCTTGGCGCCTTTTCCCGCATTGTCGATTGCTGGCTTCTGTGTAGCCGGAAAGCTGGTCTGGGGGCTTGAGGTAGGGGATCATAGTGGCGGCTAGGGATCGACCGATTATCGGTTTTACCGATATAATCGGCCGATATTCGGTATTTTCGGCAATATCGGTATCGGCCAATTCAGATACCGATATTGCCGATAATACCTCCTAGGACCGCCAGGCTCATTACAAGCCCGGCGGTCCTGGGGGGGGGCAGAGAGCAAGCGCTTACTCACCTCCCAGCAGCTCCTCCAGCTCCCCAGTGTAACTCTCGCGAGACCCGCGGCCGTCAGAGCGTTGCCATGGATCACCATGGCAACGCTCCGCGCGACACGCTGGCCGCGAGAGTTGCACTGGGGAGCTGGAGGAGCTGCTGGGAGGTGAGTAAGCACTTGGTCTCCGCCCCCCCCAGCTCAGCCAATGCCACTGGACCACCAGGGACTGTCATATCCCCCCTCCCTGGCCAGGTAACAAGCAGGGAGGGGGGACAACAAAAATAAATAATAAAGTAAATATAATTTTTTTTTAATAATTTAATAAAAAATGCCCCCTCACACACTGCATTATATACACATACACTACACAAACACACTGTGTATATAATGCAGTGTGTGTATAGTGTGTGTGTGTGTGTATACAATGCACACAAATACACACACTGCATTATATACACACACTATACAAACACACACTGCATTATATACACACACTGCATTATATACACACACTACACAAACACACTGTATATAATGCAGTGTGTTTGTGTAGTGTGTATATAATGCAGTGTGTGTGTATACAATGCACACAAATACACACTGCATTATATACACACACTATACAAACGCACTGCATTATATACACACACTACACACACACTGTATTATATACACACACACCACACAAACACTGCATTATATACACACACTACACAAACACAGTGTAGTGTAGTGATAATTCAGTGTGTTTGTGTAGTGTGTTTATATAATGCTGTGTGTGTATATAATGTAGTGTGTGTATATAATGCAGTGTGTGTGTAGTGTGTGTATAGAATGCAGTGTGTTTGCATAGTTTGTGTATATAATGCAGTGTGTTTGTGTAGTGTGTTTATATAATGCACACTACACAAACACACTGCATTATATACACACAGTATACAAACACACACACTCTGCATTATATAAACACACTACATTCACACTATAAAGACTATACACACACACACTACACAAATACACACTTTGCATTTACTATATACAGCATTCACTTTATGCACACTACCCACACACTACACAAACACTCTGCTTTCATTATATACACACTACACTAATACACACTGCATCCACTACACACACTCGACAAATACACACTGCATCCACTACACAAACACACATTGCATCCTCAACACAAACACACGCTGCATCCACTACACACACACTACACAAACACACACAGCTCCCCTGTCTAAACACACTGCATCCACTACATGTGGCATGTATATTTTGTGCATTTACCTTTAGAAATAGTTTTTATTTTCCAAAATGGTAAATGTACAGAATATCGGCAAATTATATCGGCTATCGGCCTGAAAGTTCACAGAATATAGGTATCGGTATCGGCGCTAAAAAATCAATATCGGTCGATCCCTAGTGGCGGCGTCAGGCAACAGGGCGGATCCATTTAGCCACTGCTCTCACTGCTTGACGCTGAGTCATTCCTTGAGTGCGGAGTGTCGTCCAAAAGCTTATACAAAGCCAGTCAAAGGCCTCCATGGACTGCGCTGGCGGCTGGGTGCTTGTGTTGTTTGATTTAGGCCTTTGCTGGGCCGCCATCTTGGCTGTGTCTTGTTGGGGAAGTACCCCGCAGGTTGCATGGCCGGTGAATCAGTCAGCGGGCTCATAGTGGCCAGTGGGGACCGGGATAACCCCCACCGGTCCAAAGGGGGGGAGGGGTATGGAGCTTGCCAAGTCGCCCAGGAGTTCCGAGGTCAGGGAGAGCAGCTTTCTCACCCCGATACCAGCCCCGGTCTCGGCGGGCGGCGGAGTTGTATCCCTCGCTTCGGTGGTGCACTCCCTACGTGTGTAGTGCACCTTGGTGAGTCTTTGGGCTTCAAAGCCAAAGTTATTTCACCAATTTCTGCTTGCCAGGCAGGAGCTCATGGAACCCACGTCCACCTTGCTTGGCGGTCAGACTCTGCCCCCATATACTTACTTTTTATTGCTATATTGTATTCCTGTGGCGCCGCCCAACTCTGATTTTGTACTGTAGGGTTGCTGCCTTGTCTCTTATCCTGGTTGATTAGGGCTGACTCTCCAGTGTCCTTTACACTACTGGTGACCTAAAGTAATACCATTACACATCAAAGTAAAAGTAAATACAAAAAATACACCAAGCCCCTTATAACAAAATGCTTAGGTTTTGTTAAATCAAGTTCTAGTGTTACAGTTCTATTTTATTCAGTAAAACGTAAACTTATCAAATTGATCATCATATTTGTATGAGAAAAGTGAGAGATGGTCAGAGTAGTTTTCCACAACTCAACATTACCACTACCAGAACCGCCATGGCTGCCCTGCTAATACCACCACTTATACATCAGCCATCAAGATTGCCAACACCACCACCAGTAGTTCTATTAGTACTATTACTCCGTCAAGGTATTGGTGGACTAGCACCTCAGTTATATCCGACTCACCACTTGTCAAGTGTTGACACTAGCAAGACACTAAGGAAAGGGGCAATTCAGATAGCATAGTCACAGTGCTAAACAGTATAAAATCCAGGCAGCTGTGGTTGCTGAATGATAAACAAGGTCAGACATCAGACATGGAATATAGCCAAATGTTTACAAGCTGCTACACAATCTCAGAAATTATAGGTCAGCTGTACTGAATTTAAATAAAATGTCATGTGTAAGCCACACTTCCTGTCATGTCTCTGAACTGCCCCCACCTTATTGATATGTATAGTGGCTTGGGGTAGCTATGAGTGCCTTCAGGCTGGGATTGCATTGTTGCCACTTGCCACAAACTAGTTGCCCAGTAGACATTGCACGTTTTACAATGGCATTTGTGTCCCACAAAGGAAGACTCAAGCTACCATGGGACATTCAGTATCCCCTTTCCCGGCACCCCTGCAGATTTAGAATTCAAGCAGTGGATGTTATTCTGTGAGCAAAAACAACACCTAGGCGGTAAATGTTAATTTCAAGGCATTTTCTAGTGCCCTGGTGCAGTCATCTAAAGCAGTGTTCTCCAACCCAGTCCTCATGGACCACCAACATTCCAGGTTTTATCAGTATCTCCATTGACTCTACAAGACCTCTAAACAAGTCCTGTGGTATCTGACACCAAGACATTAGCATCAGAAGCTTTAAGTCCTGGGAGTTGCTAGGTGGGTCAGCACATCCCAGAGATGCTTAATCGGAAATCTTTAAGTTTTAAATTCGGTGTTGTCATATAGTGAATATTGGAAATAGTGATATAACTGTAGGTGGCAGTATAGGACTGATCTTCCCTAAGAGTTTACCAAGAGTGTAGAATATTTTGTAAACTCAGCAATGGATGTGGAGGCTTTATTCCAGCTAGCTATGTTGTTTCTGTAGAATATATGTTTTAACCTTTAGGATTATTTATTTGAAATACTACAATATTTTCTTCCACTAGAATGTAGAATTTAATTTATTTGATAGACCTAACTAATTATTAGTGAGTATGGAGCTGAGGTAGACTGACATTGTCTGTGTATCGTATATACCGTGAGGATAAAGTAAGAACATACTGTCTTTATTATACTTGATGGTTTGAAAAGTATTACAATGAGCAAATTTGTTATAATGTTGCAGGATTTCACTCTGATGTTAAAATATGCAGGACAAGTTAGGTGGATCCAGAACTAGATTTTATAATAAAACCTCAGCTCATTGTAATGGAATAATTTATAATTTTCAGGGCCAGATTAAGAGCCCAGTGGGCCTGGTGCTGACAATTATGACGGGCCTAATTACAGAATCATATCGACCAAAAACAGTAAAACACTCCAAAGCATCATGTATCTGATGGAGATGGTGCTGGAGAGAAAGAAAACAGCAGCTATAAGAAAACACATACCCTAGGCTAATCTCTCTCTAATTTATGTTTTCATCTTTCAAGTAAATCCATAACCCCTAACAGCAGTGTCCAGTCAGGCAGGAAGTCAATGGGCATGGTAAAAGGATGTGCCACTGACACAAATCAGGTAACCTGCCAAAAGGGGCGAACATGCCCAAAAAGAGGACATGTCTGCTCAAAGAATTAGAAGGCCAGCCTGGCATGAATGCATGTCAGGCTGCCTGCCAATCTTGCAGCTGGCCAACTAAGGGCATACTATGCAGACAGCACCCTGAGCTTGGCATAAATGCATCTAATTATGCGCTCACTCAACGCTTTCTAAGGACTGTCCCCTAGCACTCGCTGGTCCACTTGTCTCCTTACCTTCTTACTAGCAGGCAGAAGCTCCTGGTATATGGTCTGGGACAGAGAAAATCTGTATGTAGTGAGTGTAGAAGAAAGAGAACATGCCACAGTGTTAGAGAGACCAAAGTCAGCATTACCTTAAAGGATCACTATAGGGTCAGGAAGACAAACATGAATTCATGATCCTATAGTGTTAACACCACCATCTAGCCCCCCTGGGCCCCTCATGCCTCCATAAATATAGCAAAATCTTACTATATTCAAGCCTGAAGCTGTAACTCTGCATGCTGTTAGACTCATAAAACAAGCAGTCTGCTGACATCATTAGAAGTGGTGGCCTGATCCAATCACAGTGCTTCCCCATAGGATTGGCTGAGACTGACAAAGAGGCAGATCAGGGTCAGAGCCAGCATGATTCAAACAGAGCCCTGGCCAATCAGCATCTCCTTATATAGATGAATTTAATTAATGAATCTCTTTGAGGAAAGTTCAGTGTCTGCATGCAGAGGGAGGAGACACTGAATGTTTGGATGCATTTTAGGCAGCCATGACCCAGGAAGGATCGCTAACAGTCATCTAAGGAGTGGCCAGTGAAGTTATCACTAGGATGTAATGTAAACACTGCATTTTCTCTGAAAAGCAGTGTTTACAGTAAAAAGCCTGACGGTAATGATTCTACTCACCAGAACAAATACAATAAGCTGTAGTTGTTCTGGTGACTATAGTGTCCCTTTAACTATATTCATTGTCAGCTAGTCCACACAAGTTTTGTTCCCATACATCCCTCTTAAGTTTCCATATTTATGTAAGAGTATGTGAAAAGTAGTTAGGGTTGCCACCTTTCTTGGAAAAACATACCGGCCTTACTAATTTGCATAATTAAATATGTATGGGTGACATCACATGATGTAAATCACAAGGAGTAAAGAGAAAATGCTGTAAAATCACCAAAAAACTACTTAGTTTGATACAGATGGATTCCTCCCAGTGCCCCCATGTCTCCCAGTGCCCTCATGACTCAGTGCCCCCATGTGTTGATTACTCCAGGTCTCAGTGTTCCTATGTATCAGTGTCTCAATGCCGATGTCTCCCAGTGTCCCTTAGTGTCTCAGTGTCCCTTAGTGTCTCAGTGTCTGCCATAATGTCTCCCAGTGCCCCTCATAATGTCTACCAGTGCCCCTTAGTGTCTCAGTGTCTGCCATAATGTCTCCCAATGTCCCTTAGTGTCTGAGTGTCTGTCTCCCAATGTCCCTTAGTGTCTCAGTGTCTGCCATAATGTCTCCCAATGTCCCTTAGTGTCTCAGTGTCTGCCATAATGTTTCCCAGTGTCCCTTAGTGTCTCAGTGTCTGCCATAATGTTTCCCAGTGCCCCTTAGTATCTCAGTGTATGTCTCCTTGCAGCCTTTCCCCCTTATCCCTCACTTCCCTGAGCTGTAGGCTGTCTCTGCAGGGTGGGAGTTGCTGTCTGGACTCTCTGTAGCTGCACCCCTGCAGATCAGTGAGTATAGATAGGCAGGGAGGGATATGCTGAAACTTCCTATCCCTGCCTGTCTCCACACACAGCGACCCCTACTGGCCAGTGCTGGTATTGCAGAGTAATCTCTTGTTTATACTGATAAAAATACCAACATTTGTATTGCCAGTATCACTGCAATATTGGCACCAGCCAGGCAGCCTCAAATACTGGCTGTGCCAATAAAATAAAAGCCAGGTGGAATCCCTAAGAGTAGTGTGTGAAAAAAAATAATGTAAAAAAAAAAAAAAATATATATATATATATATATATATATATTTTTTTTTTATATCAATGGGCCTATTCCATGTGCCTGGGCCTGGAGCTGCAGCTCCATCAGCCCCTATGTTAATCCGAACACACAAAAAAATGTGGAATGATGGCGCTATATAATAAGTGAATTTGTGATTTTTAGCTGCTATATACACTCCGTGGGTACTCCTTATAACCCACCATTCATAGATAAACACCAAAAAAAAGAGAGAGAACTTTGGATTTAGGTAGATACTAAAAATCCCCCAAATCCCTAGTTTCTCATGAGTGTAGCGCTGAATATAAAGTGAAAATTTCAGTGAAGGAATAGTGCTAGAACACGCACTTACCCTATATATTGTGCTTTAGTTTTCTTAATGGTATACCAAGAAAAAAGAACATAAAAAATACAAATAATAGTGTAGTATATTAAATGAATATTGTATAAAGTCTTTTAGTTGTAAATGATGAATTGAAATGAACTCACATTTTTTAGAGCCTTTTCCAGTTATAAGGCTCTAAACTTCCAGGTGTCTGTGTCTTTTTTAGGGGTAGATCACACGACCCGTCTCCCAAGATGAAAAAGGACGTAAATTTCTCTCCACGTTGCATAGAAAAGAGACACAGATATCCCCAATCTAAATGTAGTATTTTAGATTCTGATGTAGATCAATGTAAATAAAATACAAAAGTGCTCACCTTCTTTAGAGCCTCTGGTTACCGGCTCTAAGTATTTTAGCCTAGTGTCAAATTAATAGGGATGACACTGCCCCCTTCTTGGAATCACTTGCGCAGAGTATGATTGAATAGTAAATAAAATGTATATATTTATTTTGAAAACTATAAAAATGTATACATGATACTAGAAAACAATAAAAACAATTACATAAAATATAAATATATTGGGTGGTCTATTTACAGGTCCACCTAGTTAGCCAAAACGCGTTTCACCGATCAGAACGGCTTCCTCAGTCAGCTTAGTCTCGGGTATTAACTCTATATCTAGTAGATTATCGGAATACCTGGACAAATGTCTGCAACCGGTGGTTCAGAAAACTCCTAATTACCTAAAAGACACCCTAAATATCATTCAAATATTACAAGATATACAGTGGGAAAAACATTATATTTTGGTAACTGCAGACGTCAGTTCTCTATACACGATTATTTCACACACCAAAGGTATAGAAGCAGTAAATTTTTTTCTAAATAAAGATAGCATATATCCGGAAGAGCAAATTAATTTTATTAGAGAGGGAATAGATCTCATTTTAAAGAATAATTATTTCTGGTTCAATAATGAATTTTTTTTACAAAAAGTAGGTACTGCTATGGGGACCAGGTTCGCACCAAGCTATGCCAATTTATTTATGGCATTTTGGGAAGAGAAACATATCAACAACAGTATAGAATGGGGAGCGAACCTGGTCACCTATAAGCGGTACATAGATGACATTTTTTATTTGGAATGGTTCAGAAACTCTTTTAAATACTTTTTTAACCTCTAAATATTAATGACTGGGGAGTCAAATTAACTACGGAATACAGCACCAACAGTGTAAATTTTTTAGATCTTACAATTTTTATAGAAGATGACCATATAAAAACCAAAACTTATTTTAAATCTGTAGACGTGAACAACTATATTTTTTTAAATAGTTGCCATTTCTCTCCCTGGCTTAAGAACATTCCGAAAGCCCAATTAATGAGAATTCGCAGAAACTGCACTGACACAAGCACTTTTGAAATTCAAGCCACTAGGGTCAAGAACCAATTTGTGGAAAAGGGTTATGAAGACAATCTGTTAGTGAATACTATAAAAGAGGTAGAAAGCATGGAAAGATCCTCCCTTTTGAAATATAAATCTAAGGCGAGAAATGAGCATAATATGTTGCCATTTATCTCTAATTTCAATCAGGAAAGCCATAAAATAAAAAAGATAGTGAACAAACATTGGCCCATGCTAAGAAATGACCCCATGCTGTATTCTATATTACCAGAAAGACCAAGATTTGTATACAGGGGAGCGACAAATTTGAGACAAAAGCTAGTACATAATCATATTAAAGAAGAATCAATCACACCTTTTTTTCAGAATAAAGGTTTTTTTGGCTGCGGACAATGCTTAGCTTGTAGGAACACAAAAAGCAAAAAAAGACATATCAGGGAGTTCCATGATTCAGCAAGAGGAAAGAAACACACAATAAAGGAAATGATTACTTGTTTTTCCAAAAGGGTGATATATCTTTTAAAATGCCCCTGTGATCTTTTATATGTGGGCAGAACGAAAAGCCCATTGAATGTGAGAATAAATGAGCATATACGGAACATTAAGAAGGGCTACGATAAACATAGTGTTTCAGACCATTTTAGATTAATACATGACAAAGATCCACAATTTTTAGATTTTTATGCTATCCAAAAAGTCACCTTAAATTGGCGAGGGGAGGACGAAATAAGAAAATTAGGTCAATTAGAAACAAAATGGATATTTAATTTAAACACTCTAACCCCCCAAGGCTTGAATGCAGATTTCGAATTATGTCATTTTTTATAATTATTATTTTTCAAAAATTATTATTTTTTAGATGTTTGGTCTATTAATTAAAATTTATTTATCTTTTAATTAATTTATTTCATATAAAAAACATACTATTTTATAATTCTAAACATCATAATTAATAATACATATTACTGTTGTAGGACCTAAGAAATATACCAAATAGGGATCTGCACACCAATAAATTGCAAATGACTATAAGAATAAATTATTACACAATTATAGAACCATATAAATATTCCAGGCAATATATATTTTCAACACTGGAATTATATAAAGTTCTTCAATACATCAAAATATAATACTGATTAGATATTTTGCTGTATATACAATGTCATTTTCTATTGTCTTTACTGTTTCTATTTTTTTTTCCTTTATGTTATGAATCATATCACTGATGTGTTTATTTTCTAAATGTACTCGGAATGTATCTTCAGAGAAAAGGGGCAACAGTGAAACAAATACTACTATTAGGAACTGAGATTTAGGTGCAGTGCACCATGGGACGTGTAGTTCACGAAACCGGAAGTGACGCGACGGCATTTTTGCCCGCGAAAACCGGAAGTGACGCCAGTAAACCCAAAGCAGGATGGGACTTGTAGGATTAAAGGGCGGAAGTGACGTGACGCCATACTGGAGACACTGGACGCAATTAAACCAACGAACAGAGGAATTTTCTGGCGGGAAATTTGAAGGTATAAAAAGGAGACTGGATGCACAATACTGTTTGAAGCTGACTGAGGAAGCCGTTCTGATCGGTGAAACGCGTTTTGGCTAACTAGGTGGACCTGTAAATAGACCACCCAATATATTTATATTTTATGTAATTGTTTTTATTGTTTTCTAGTATCATGTATACATTTTTATAGTTTTCAAAATAAATATATACATTTTATTTACTATTCAATCATACTCTGCGCAAGTGATTCCAAGAAGGGGGCAGTGTCATCCCTATTAATTTGACACTAGGCTAAAATACTTAGAGCCGGTAACCAGAGGCTCTAAAGAAGGTGAGCACTTTTGTATTTTATTTACATTGATCTACATCAGAATCTAAAATACTACATTTAGATTGGGGATATCTGTGTCTCTTTTCTATGCAACGTGGAGAGAAATTTACGTCCTTTTTCATCTTGGGAGACGGGTCGTGTGATCTACCCCTAAAAAAGACACAGACACCTGGAAGTTTAGAGCCTTATAACTGGAAAAGGCTCTAAAAAATGTGAGTTCATTTCAATTCATCATTTACAACTAAAAGACTTTATACAATATTCATTTAATATACTACACTATTATTTGTATTTTTTATGTTCTTTTTTCTTGGTATACCATTAAGAAAACTAAAGCACAATATATAGGGTAAGTGCGTGTTCTAGCACTATTCCTTCACTGAAATTTTCACTTTATATTCAGCGCTACACTCATGAGAAACTAGGGATTTGGGGGATATATAGTATCTACCTAAATCCAAAGTTCTCTCTCTTTTTTTTGGTGTTAAAACAGGAACTCCCTGTACTGTCACATACAGTCTCTTTTATTCCCAATCCACAAACATAGTACAGCCCACAGGGCGTTACAAAACAACCAATCAATCCGTACAATACACCCAGACACTCCCACACAAAATCCTCTCCTCTGCAGGTGATATGATTACTGAACACAATGGGTAATCTCATTATCACCGGCAGAGGAATACAGTTTTTACACAATATTTATAACTTCTAAAATATACATGTCACAAACATAAAAAATACATTTTCATAATCAATCCATTCAGGGGAACAACATATTAAAAAATGGCACGAATCAGACCAGGGGTTCAAAAGTTAAGGGAAAGTCCTTTGTGACTAAATGAAGCATGGCTTTCTGGTCCAAACCAGTTTCAGAGTCTTCTATCCTGGAGAGTAATTCAATTATCTCCCAGGATAGACACAAGACTCCATTAAGCACATGGTTGCAAAAAGACACAAAACACTTTAAAATACATAAAGTCACATTTACACATAACACACAGACATTTCACATATCCCCAGATAGCTGGGATCTGAGTGCACATTATTAGATGAATGGCACTCAGATCACACAAATAAGCCTTTCTGCAGGGGAAATAAACGGTTTAACCTGCAGGGCCATAGTCCAAAGGGAGCAGGCGAGCAACCAGGCTTCTCCAGTTCACAGTGGCGAGGTTGGTTTCGCCACACTTCTCCCCTTTACCAACTAGACTAACAGGGTATCTGACCTCCTGCCGGTCAGTGCCCTGGTTAGTCCAGCAACCCACCCACAAAACAGAAACAGCAGTACAGCCCACCCACAATAACTGGTTACTACACCTGGGTAGAGGAGAACTTTGTCCATGTCCAGGTGCCTCACCACGACTGTGTGGGCAACTGTTAGGCTGCCTTGGTGGGTTGCTGAGTGGGCAGAGACCAGCGGTACTCTGCCCTGATGCCAGTGCTACCACGGAAGTAGCCTGGTGGGAGCCTGGTTGTGGGAGGGAGAGACCGACTGTCTCCCCTCTGGATACACCGCTCTGTGGCTGGGGAACAGGACCGACTGTCCCTACCCCTTGTGCTGTAAGTGCAGAGACTACAGTCCCATCTGCACTGTTGGGGGGTGTAACATCTCCCCTTGCTGGGTTAGGCTGCCGCTGGAGAGAGGGTGTAACAAGCTCCTCTCTCTGAACTGTAAACTGCCGCTGGGGAGAGGGGGTATCAGGCTCCTCTCCCTGACACTCTCTCTGCTGGTGGAGAGGGGGACCAGCTGTCTCCCCTTTCATTATTTTGTCCTGTGGTTGGGGTGCGGGACTGACGGTCTCTGCGCCCTGCAGGACACTCTGCCGCTGGGGAGGAAGGACGGCACCTTCAGCCGCTGGGGAGGAAGGACTGCACCTTCAGCTCCCTGGGGTACACACTGCCGCTGGGGAGGAAGGACTGCACCTTCAGCTCCCTGGGATACACACTGCCGCTGGGGAGAGGTGATAACAAGCTCCTCTCCCTGACACTCTCTCTGCTGTTGGAGGGGGAGACCGACTGTCTCCCCTTTCAATAATTTGTCCTGTTGCTGGGGAGAGGTGATAACCGGTTCCTCTCCCTGGAACACTCTCTGCTGTTGAAGAGGGGGACCAACTGTCTCCCCTTTTAATATATTGCCCTGCTGCTGGGGAGCGAGACCGACTGTCTCCGCTTCCTGCAGGACACACTGCCGCTGGGGAGGAAGTACAGCTCCCTGGGATACATACTGCCGCTGGGGATCTGGGCTGACTGCCCAGCATCCCTGTAGGGCCTGTAGAGAGACCTCGGTCCCATCCCCACCTGCCAGCTGGGTGTCTTCCCAGGACAAGTCAATAAGGTCTTCCATCTCTGGGGCTGGTTGGGACATATGTGGTACAGTACCAAGGTCTCCTGATAACAGGCTTGGTTGCTGGGGAGGAGGAACTAAACTCAATGCTTCCGGTGGTATACAGTCAATAAGCCCCATCATGTCAAAGACAGGCGGCGTTATACGTTGGAATAGGCAAACATAATCCTGTTCTAGTTCCCACTCTCGGTTGGCAAGAAAAGATAGATCTGGCTGAATGGCATCGATCTCTGTAAGGTCCCAGTTGTCTGCCCGCTCAGCTCGGATGGACCAGAAGCGAGCAATGTCGGTGTCTCCGAACCAGAGACTAGTTTCAATAGTATCCCACAACAAACCAGGGCCATCGTAGTCTTCCCCCTCAATACACTTGTACTCAATCAGCCATGGGTAGAGGTGGTAAACATGCCACCGCAGGGCCCGATAGGAATCATCCAGCCACACCTCAGTCTCAACTAGCGTCTCCAGTTCGCTTACCCATTCCTCTGAGGGCTGGTTTCCCAATAACGGCATCCGCAGCTCTAGTTGTTCTGCTTGGCGCTGGTTAGTGGTCAGGATTTCCTCGCACCGGAAGGGTCGAATTTCGTCGATGTCCTCCTTCCAGAGATCGGTACGAAGCGCCACCCTCCACTCTGTCTCTCTTTCCTCTGGGATAGGATACTCCATACTGCGCATCACATCCTGTAGTCGCTGCTGGAGCCTGGCGTCAAAGTGAGATACTGCACGGCCTTCCATCTCTGAAGTAGTGCTGGTTTTCCCAAATCTTTATGTAGACAGGGACGCTGTATGAACACTAGCGTCACCTTCAATTTGTAAATCCACGAACTGTGTCTCTGAGCTGCTTTACCTCGCACTAGGACGCAATCCCACCGCTGCCACCAATGTAACGGATCGCCTGGCACCCCGACTGGGTACCTCCGTTAAAGGATGCTCCTAGCGCTTCCTGAGGACTCCAAGCACTGCAGCAGACACCACAACCACCGAACCGGAGAAGCATATGAATCCTCCCAAGCATATGAATGCTGTAGACAGCTGAATAGGAACCATACGAATAGGTTTACTCTCCTAGCAGTCAAACTGGAACAGCATACAATAAATCCTTCCCCCAATAATGAGACGACACTTCACTTTGAGGGTTAAAAACAGGAACTCCCTGTACTGTCACATACAGTCTCTTTTATTCCCAATCCACAAACATAGTACAGCCCACAGGGCGTTACAAAACAACCAATCAATCCGTACAATACACCCAGACACTCCCACACAAAATCCTCCCCTCTGCAGGTGATATGATTACTGAACACAATGGGTAATCTCATTATCACCGGCAGAGGAATACAGTTTTTACACAATATTTATAACTTCTAAAAATATACATGTCACAAACATAAAACATACATTTTCATAATCAATCCATTCAGGGGAACAACATATTAAAAAATGGCACAAATCAGACCAGGGGTTCAAAAGTTAAGGGAAAGTCCTTTGTGACTAAATGAAGCATGGCTTTCTGGCCCAAACTAGTTTCAGAGTCTTCTATCCTGGAGAGTAATTCAATTATCTCCCAGGATAGACACAAGACTCCATTAAGCACATGGTTGCAAAAAGACACAAAACATTTTAAAATACATAAAGTCACATTTACACATAACACACAGACATTTCACATATCCCCAGATAGCTGGGATCTGAGTGCACATTATTAGATGAATGGCACTCTGATCACACAAATAAGCCTTTCTGCAGGGGAAATAAACGGTTTAACCTGCAGGGCCATAGTCCAAAGGGAGCAGGCGAGCAACCAGGCTTCTCCAGTTCACAGTGGCGAGGTTGGTTTCGCCACAGGGCCAATGGGACACGTGGACGGGGCTGGGAGGGGCCAATGGGACACGTGGACGGGGCTGGGAGGGGCCAATGGGACACGTGGACGGGGCTGGGAGGGGCCAATGGGACACGTGGACGGGGCTGGGAGGGGCCAATGGGACACGCGGACGCGGGCTGGAGGGGCCAATGGGACAATGGACGGGCTGGGAGGGGCCACTGACACCGGACGGGCTGAGGCCAATAATGCGTGGACGGGCTGGAGGGGCCAATGTGGGACACGCGGACGGGCTGAGGTAATAATGGACACGTGGACGGGCTGAGGGGCCAATGGGACAACGGACGGGCTGGAGGCCAATGGGACACGTGGACGGGGCTGGGAGGGGCCAATGGGACACATGGACGGGGCTGGGAGGGGCCAATGGGACACATGGACGGGGCTGGGAGGGGCCAATGGGACACATGGACGGGGCTGGGAGGGGCCAATGGGACACATGGACGGGGCCAATGGGACAGAGGGGGAAGCAGATACCTGGAAGGGCTTGGAGGGGGTAATAAGACACTAGAAGGGGAAATGAGCCACTGGGATGGGGAATGAGACACCTGGAAAGGCTGAGAGGGGTTGAGACACCTGGAGGGGCTGGGGGTGAATGAGACACATGGAGCGTCTTAAACAAACCAGAAATAAGTGCAGTGCTACATTCAACAAGTGCAACATGTGGTTGAGGAGGAAGATAACAGATGAAGATTTCAATATGGTATGTCTTAATGTTCTTACAACATATATGTATTTGCTATGCTTTCATCTTGTATTTGTACTTCATAATTAAGGTTTTCAATGGAAAAGTTTGTTGGTCAGGAACGGAACCCATGTTTATTACATTGCAGTCTATGGGAAATCATGAACTCTCACTCCATGAACTCTCACTCCATGAACTCTCACTCCATGAACTCTCACTCCATGAACTCTCACTCCATGAACTCTCACTCCATGAACTCTCACTCCATGAACTCTCACTCCATGAACTCTCACTCCATGAACTCTCATGAACTCTCACTCCATGAACTCTCACTCCATGAACTCTCACTCCATGAACTCTCACTCCATGAACTCTCACTCCATGAACTCTCACTCCATGAACTCTCACTCCATGAACTCTCACTCCATGAACTCTCACTCCATGAACTCTCACTCCATGAACTCTCACTCCATGAACTCTCACTCCATGAACTCTCACTCCATAACCAATTAGTTTGTAAAATTGGGAACTACGTATTATCAAAAAAAGGGAGGGAATCGTACAGCCACTATATTAAGGAAAAAAGAATTTACGGTAAGATCTGTTCTTCCTAACAATGGCAGTACCAGTGGGATATAACAAGATCCCTGAAAAATTAAAAGGGTGGGGGTCTCAGCAAACTACTGCTTGAACACCTTGCACCCAAAAGCAGCCTCAGAGGATGAGATGTCTAATAGTGCTTAATGAAGGTATGAAAAGAGGACCATGTTGCCGCTTTGCAGACATCTTCAGGAGGCACGTTGGTTTTTTCAGCGCATGATGTGGACATGGCTCTGAGTGTGCTCTAATAAAGGAAGGTAATTTAACAATGTGCAATTCATAGGCCAATTTGAGTCTGTTAACCACCTCGCCAGAGTGGGTTTAGATGCTCCCACACCCTTCTTTTTTCTGTGAAAATTAAACTGATAAAGGTGATCCAAAGACCTAAATTCTTCAGAACGGGATAAGTACGGGATAAAGTGTTCTACGCACATTCAGGTTATGCCACGTCCGTTCTTTATCTGATCTTCCCGAACTATAGAATGATGGCAGCACCAGAGGTTCATTCAGAGATTTTCTTGATAGAACGTTTGGGGAAAAAAGGTTTAGAATGCAGCACAGTCATGTCCTGATGAAAAATTGTGAATTCTGGCAAAGAGGAAAGGGCTTGGATCTCCCCAATTCTCCTAGCTGAGGTAATTGCTACCAGAAAAAAATAGTCTTGAGGGACATAAAATTCTTAATGATACCTTTTTAAGTGGTTCAAATGGAGCTTCACAAAGACTAACACCAGATATTAATCACAGGAAGGGAATTGAAATGTCTGAGGTCTTTGAAGAATAATGAACTTGAAGAAACGTCTAATCCGTAGACACGACGGAAACTCTTGGAGCAAATAAAAAAAAAGAAAAAAAGAAAAAAAAAAGTGTGAACCTTTAAAGTAGAGACACGGAGTCCAGTTTCAAAGCCTTCTTGCAGAAACTGAAAAATCGTCTTGACAGATGGGACAGCAATGAAATCAATCATGCAGAGCGCACTAATGGAGAAATTTGTTTCAAATTCTTAAATAGATTCTAGATGTAGAAGGTCTGGTGGAGTTAAGAGTTGTATGAAAGAGGTTTTCTGGAATGCCTTGGTTTTTAAAGATTAACCTTGCAACAGCCAGGCCGTCAATCTGAACATGTGACTAGCTTTCTACGGAAGAACATTTTCCGGGAGTTGATCTGAGAATGGAAGCTCCCAGTAGTCCAGCGCCGGTTCGGCAATGCCGAGAACCAGCGCCAGTTCGGCCGGTTAGGACAGCGATCACTTAAGCTTGGTCTGCTTTGATCTTCTGTAAAGTTCTCCGAATCATTGGGATTGGAGGAAAAACCAATGGTATGCCAGGCTGAAACTACAGGTTATCGACATGCTGTCCAGAACCTGTGGGTTGTCCTGCTTAAACAGTAAAACAAACTTCTGCACTTTTCTGTTCCTTCTCCTTGACATTAGATCCATCACTGGAAGACCAAATCTTTTTACAATTTCTGAGAAGACTTGGGGGTGAAGAGACTAATTAGTTTGTGACCATTTGTTCCTGCTGAGGTCGTCTGCTACCACATTTTGTTCGCCTTTTATGTGGACTGCTCAAATAGATTCAAGGACCACATCATAATCTCCCCACAAAGAATGTGCAGGTCTTTGATTCTTGTACCTCCCCGACTGTTGATATATGCCACCGTCGCGCTGTTGTCAGACTTGGGGATCGACCAATATAATCGGCCGATATTCGGTATTTTCGGCAATATCGTATCGGCCAATTGAGATACCGATATCTCATTACAAACCCGGCAGTAATGGGGGGCCCGTAGCAAGCGTTTACTTACCTCCCAGCAGCTCCTCCAGCTCCCCAGTGCAAGTCTCGCGAGACCCGCGGCTGGCAGAGTGTTGCCATGTGTTACCATGGCAACACTTCGCGCAGCACGCCGGGCGCGATACTTACACGGAGGAGCTGCTGGGAGGTAAACGCTTGCTGACTGGCTGGTAGTTCACATAAAGAAGCCTTCGATGCCATATTAGCGCACCAGGAAAGCAGCCATAAAGCCCTTCTGACTCCTCAAGCAAGTCCCAGCAGTGAACATGCCAACAATTTTAGGCCTTTCTCAGATAAATCCTGCATAAAATCATTAGCCAACCTTATCTTATGTCAAAGTTGAGGAGCTTCTTTTTCCAATCCTTCCTTTTTTGTGCTCGCATGACAGATACTCCCGCAATTGCAGCTTTACTTTGAGACCCTGCTGTTTGGAAGATTTGTCTGCAGGATGTCTCTGCTCTTCTGTCCATTGGATTTTTAAGGCCAGATAGCTCACAGATGGGTAGTATGGTCTTTTTGGACAGTTGTGCCACTTGCGTTTCTACCTTTGGTAGATATTCCCAACTTAAACCTTCCTGTAGTCTGATAAGCTCTTTAAAAAAAAAAAAAAAAAAATGTTTGGAAATTAATGCCCTTTTCTCAGGATTCTTCCATTCTCTATGTACATATTCTAACAACTTCGGGTCTATCGGGAAACCCTTAATCTTTTTAGTAGAATCAATCTGATAACACTGACGTTACCTAAGGAATCTTTTCAGGTGTTCGGCAGAAAATCTTTCCACACTAGACGCCTCAATAGAATTTAATGAGCATACAGTGTCAGAGCAGTCTCCTGATGATAACTCAGACAGGAAGGGAGATCTTTCTCGCTTACATTTTTTTTGAATGCCTCTCAAGAATAATGCATTTTAGCTGATTCTTTAAAAGATTCAAATGTTTGTGAAAGGTTAACCTGGAACCAGTTAAGAAATTTCTGCATATCCTGCTGCTTAAATTTCTCCAAATCTTCAGAGGCGCAGCTATTGCATATTTTCTTTTTGCATCCATCAGGTAGTGGAGTAGGGCATTCTGAACAGCTGTTATAGTTCAATTTAAATGTAGCCTTCTTGGGTGCAGATGCCGACATTTTCTCCTTGTCCAAGTCTTTAGGAGACGATGAGCTAGACATCAGCAATAAAGCAATTTTGAGAAACTTTCCAATCCAGAAGAAAAAAAAAACAACAGATGCCTTTAAGGTATGATAGGTTTTATCTTTTTATTAAAGACTTCTGAAGAGTGGGGGAGGGCTGGTGACACTATTCCCTCAACAAACAACTTACATGCTTGTCCTGAGGATTTGCACGACTTAAATAGGCACCCATTTTTGAATTGAGCGCCGAAATGTAAAGTTCTAAATTGCACATGTGAATTAGGAACTTCGGTGGAACGCACAGCTGCCCAGGCGTGCGTTCCACCTCCATGCGCAAGCTCCAAGCTCGCAATTCGATTGGTAGATCACCTGGGACAGTCTCTTACCCAGCGTTGGTCTCTACACAGCATAAGAAGGCAGACTTCCAACTGCTCTGTAACCAGGATTCAGAGTGGGGCACTCAGCTCACCACCCAGCGAGCTTTCGGCCAGATCCCCCAGACAGCAACCTGTGCGCCTCACCAGACTAAGTTCCGTCAGTATGTCCGTCGCAAATGGGACAAGAAAGAATACCGGGCTAAGTAGGAGGGATTATTTAAATTCTTAATTTACTTGTTTACAGTTGGCTTGTCCATCAGAAAGATACAAAACCCACTGGTACTGCCACGATGTGTTAGGAATAAATGGTATGGTGTCTTTGCTAGATACGTAGCTAGCCAATCCTTTCATGCTCAGACTATGGACAATAGAAATAAGATAAAAGCAGTTAAATGACGACTGAGTCACTGGCTACAAACTGGAATATTCAAGGGCTCACAAAAAAAAAAAAATTACAGCAAAATAAAAACTAAAAGCATAGTTTCAAGATCAGCTAAGTAAATGTCAGTGTAAAGTTATTAATTGTTATGTTAATGAAATATTTAATTTGTAAACATACAATAACCATGAAAAGCTTACATCCATGCTCACACCAGTAGCCCCAGGTATAAATGATTACATGGGGCTCCTCAGTCAGCTGGGGTCATTTTCAGTGGCCCCAGACAGACTAGTTCTAAGCAGAGCTGAAAGTGATGCTCAGAGCCCTTTAAATTCAGTCAAAACTTTAACAGGCAACCTCTGTGCACCTATAAATATTCCAGTCTGCTGCTGCTGGCTCTGCCCCTGATCTGCCTGCTTGGCTGACATCAAAAGTCAATCACAAGGCTTTCCCATAGGCAGAGCCAGCACAAGTCAAACAACCCTGGCAAATCAGCATCTGCTCAGAGATTTATTGAATCAATGCATATCTATGAGGAAAGATCAGTGTCTCCATGCAGTAGAGACACTGCATGGAGACAGCCATCTGAGGAGTGCCCACTGGAGGTATCCTTATGCTGTAATGTAAACACTGCATTTTCTCTAAAAAGACTGTTTACTGCAAAAAGCCTGAAGGTAATGATTATACTCACCAGAACAAATACAATAATCTGTGGTTCTGGTCACTATAGTGTCCCTTTAAATTTGAGCAGTCTTATAGACCAGATTTGTAGTTTGTTAATGCACCTTGTGTAGACTACCAACCACTTTAGATTTATTTTAAAGTTTTACCTGTGCATATAAAGGTACACCGTTTAGCATTTCACCAATAGCTTCAATTGCTTCTGTGGTAAAGGTATTGTCACCTATACAATGAGAGAAAAACACATGAATATGTTCTCAAATGTGTACAATGGAATACAGCTGGATGAAAATGCAGATCAAAGAGTGAGCAAAAAAGTAATGGATTTGAATAAATCTGCATGCAAAACATGATTATTCTATTAATCTGCAAATAATGTGTGTGTTTTTCCATGAATACAATCATGAGGTACTGTTGTACTGCAACTGGAGAGGTACACTATGGGGGAGGGGTTGGAGTGGGTGGGGGTGGAGAGGCACACTAATAAAAAGGTATTTTTATATATTTCCTATATGCTCCACTGTTTTTGCACTTTAGATTTGCACTAACAAGTATATTCAATACTTGTCTGTTTTTGGCATACTTTTGACAGAAAGATTCAATAGGTGTGTTTGCGGTTTTCAGTTGGGCTATAATGGACGAATATTTAAATAACCCTGTAAGCAGTGTTCGTAAGAAAGATTTCAAATTCAGCTATTGGAGCATGTGATCTGAAATTAATTTTACATTCCTGACAATTCACAGTTAGACTGCTTATCCCACCAATCAGCTTACTCAAAAATGAGTTTTAGCAAAATAAAAATCAAATTACAAAATCTAAAAATAGCTGATCCAGAAAAATTCTCCAATTCGCAGTGTGTCTATTTTAATTTTTTGCCAGAGTAACAAATCAGACTTAAATATGTACACCACTCAATGAGGTTTGTTTAAAGTATTAACGTTAAAAAAAGTGTGGGTAGAAATATAAAATACCAGGAACCATGCAAAATGTGTTTACCATGAATAGGTGCAACGTTGTCTAACAAAACTTCTGTTCCTTGGAAAGGCAGAGTGACAAAGTCAGATCTATGGGAAAAGCAAAATATGCTCCTTTGTTAAATAAACTTCATCCTGAAGCAACATTTTAATTATATGCCTGTAAAATTTTGGGGGAAAATGTTACACTTTTTAAACAAAACAATTGTGCGCATTTATACCAATGATGTATGCATCTTCAAATACATGGAGATATTTAGCATTAAGTATTTCATTACTTAAATGTTAGGCGACAAGCAAGCAAAAGGAGAATAATGTAATTGGAGCCATGTTTATTACTACGACAATAGATCGACACTGGATCTAGTGCCAGAAAAACTGACGGGGTCTGAACGGCATTTTGATTAGTGCTGGGCTGTCAGTTGCATAAAATGTTCAATGCAAGCTTTTTGAAGGTGTCATTATGAAGATCGCAAGTAGATGGCAGCAACATATTATCTCAAAATACACTGTTACCATCAGTACTGATATTAGGGGGAAACATTTGGGATTAGGATTAAATCAAGGATTAATATGTGTAGAATAATTAGGGTATAGACTTCTAGGATTGGGATTAGGGCCGGCAAGGAAATGCTTAAAATCAGCAAGAGAGTCATTCTACCACTATTTATAAGGTTAGGATAGTGATTAAGGTTAGCATTTGGGTTAGGATTACTGAGAGGTTTATTAGATTTAGGGTTCTATTTGGAATTAGGATTTGGTCTAGACTTCGTGTTTAGGATGAAGAAATTAGACTAGAATTAAAAATATAACTTTGCAAAAGTATCCACATGGTGTGAAAAAATAAATTAAATGGCCCCTCAAGAAAGCCTAAAATAAATCAATCACGTGTTAGTCGCCGTGTTGGCCACTTTTGCAAAGGTAATGCATTTGTGGAGTAATTGAAATAGGTGAGCTACTAAAATGCACCACAGATCCATCTTCAGTTTGTCAATTATTTGAACAACTACAATGAGCAAGTTTCAAATTCAGCTATGAATAATCTCCAACAATTGACAAAGGTATACAAAAGGGGGTCAAATTCTATACTCAGATAGACACAATTTAGTGATATTTATTACAATAGAACATATTATGTTCACAATAACTGCTCAAATTGCAATGTGCATGTAAAAAAAAAAAAGAAATCTAAAAAATGCAATACAATAAAGTTAAGAAAATGGTGCTAAAATAGCTCAATAATAAGGTTCAAAATATACCATACCGCTTTATTTATACTTTCACAAATGGTATGCATTATGAGGTTGTTTGAATTATTAAACTGCTACAATGCCCCAAATTAATCTTTCAAAAATGCTTATTTTAAAAACAAATAGTACGTTCTCTTATATGGCACTAACTTTGCATATTAGTGTCACATAAGATTTGAGAAAAGGGCAGTTAAATTGAAATATATATATATATATATATATATATATATTTTTTTTTTAATGAGGTGCTTAATACTTGAACTCACCTTATCTGACGTAAAGTCTTAATTTTTACTCTCTTATAACCTCCGTAATCCACGTATCGGATGAAAACCTCTTCAGTGTTTGGGAAATAAGACACAACCTGGGCCCTCCACCATTCGTTATTTTCATTAGGAGCAGCACAAATTGTACCAACTGCAATGATAGATTTACAATATTATCTTTACTTTATCAAAGACAGAAGTTCCAACAGTGTTAAACGTGTTTTCAATATGCATTCTGAACCAATGCCAGATAACCATCTTGATTTCTCATGATTGGCACAGCAAAAAACACTTGTTGGCAAACCCTGAACAGCTGTTTGCTGTGAACTATTAAGGGGAAAAACAAAAAACAAAAAACAAACAAGATTAATCAGACAACCGACCCCATTATTTCCTGGTGTGTTGCTCAATGGAACTAAACGCAAGAGGCAGCAATTGCTCAAAGCATTTTTTATTTGGGCAGTTGAGTATCCCTTTATGGCCAAAAACACCCTAACAGGAAAAATTATTCAAGTCAGCTGTGCTTCCAAACCAGTCTCCACTTGGCATTGGCCGGTCCCATTTCTTCTGAAGTCTAAATCTACAATAAAGGTGGGAATCCGAGCAGCACTGGACACCTATATCGCTATGGCAATCCATCCTCTATACTGATTGAATGTGTGTATGTATATTATATACATTTACGGATTTACAGTAATTAGACCAATTCAGTGTGAATTGACCGTATCATCCTATATTTTCCATACATAGGATGTTATTATATGGATACACTTATTTTTAGAGACACTATCACATTGTGATTTTTACTAACTATATTGTTCCTATTTATTCTATATGCATGCAGTCATGTATGGTTTTATTGATACTATTGATTTCATGTTAGCTCCTGGATCCACTAACATTTTAGTGACTTTTTTTCCGCCAGAGATTTTGATGACCCCTGTTTTTCCAGTATTGAGGTACTATTTTTGCAATTCTCTTACTTTATTAGTTCAATATCTTTTACACTCTCTCTCCTACTTTTTAGCTTTACACACTTGTGTTTCACCACTATATTTTTCTTTACACGTTTCCTTGGACCAGACATCTAAACCACAGTCCAACCAGAAAAAGTTACTGGATCCTAAACCCAACAAGGGGATGTCAGGAATGTTCATTATGTAGCATATTCAAAAAGGATAAATGCTTGTTAAAAAGCCATCTCCAGAAATACTATTTTTAATGGTTTGCATGATAAGAACTTCACATTTAAAGTGGCACTCTCATGGACAAATCCAGTTTGTTTTTTAACCCCCTCCCAACTCCACTACATCTAATTGCCCCCCTAGTCAACCCCAAATGCCCTTTAGCCCCCCATCTTACCTATTTTTGCATCCTTATTTCGTGCTTGGACAGTGGTTCTGAGCGCCGCCATCTTTGTGTGGCTAGATTAAGTCCCTGTGGGACACGTCATCTGCTCACACTACATAGCGCTGTGAAATTCCCACGCATGTCCAGTTAAACACTTGGGCATGCAAACAGGAATTTCATCTATTCATTCATTAGAATAGAAATTTAAAACGAATGAACGAAGACCAGCACACAGATCCCTCCTTGTAATATGTAAAAATAGAAACGGCAGGGAGCAGTACCCCCCGCCACTTCCTAAGCCCCTCAGTCAATGGGGGTCATTATGACCCCCATAATAGCATAAGGGAGATTAAAAGCTACTGAATGCCCCTACTCCCTATGCCGTGAGTAGGGGCATGACTACTAAACATGCTTACTGTTGGGATAAAAAAAAGCGCAAAAAAAAAAATCAAATTGAAAGCAACCAGTGTTATGAGTCAAATGCCATGGGAATTAGGGAGCCATCTACTAAGCGGCTGCA